GCAGCAAGCAAGCCTCCCTGCTCGCTTCAGTGCCTGGCTGCCGGCCGCCATCTTGGCTGACAGTTAATTTGCATATACTCACTGATTAGCCAATGAAAAGGGTAGCGGTCATATGCCAATTACCATGTTTCTCTTTTATTAGTGTAGATGACATAGTGACATGTATATAATTTATAAGTAAATAAATATTTCTATATCGGAGTGGTGAATGCTCAAATGTTTTCTACTAATGGGGTAACATGGTCAAAATAGCTTGGAGGCCACCTCGCTAGAAAACCATTAAAGACTCCTCCATCCTACCTGGCAAGGCCTGGGACCTCAGAGGTCTCTGCCAGGTTGGCTTAAAGAAATAATCAGCTGTCTAGAAAGATCTAGGGCCTCCTGTCCCTTTTTTAAAGGGTGAAATCACTTGTATTTTGGTGAAACAGAAAAAAATATTATTAATATGACTGTCACTACCTAAACTCCCAACCATCCTCAAAGGAAGTCACATCAGAGTGGTTCCACCCTGTGCAATTATGGCCACTGAAAGGCAAATAAGGACCAGAATCTAGTCTGTGCCCCACTCACCAAGCCGTATGCCCGTGGAGGGGTGCCTCTGCCCCAGGGAAGAGGGCCTTTTACTAACTCTCACGAAGGTGTAAGAATCAACAGCCCTGCTTTTATTTATTTATTGTGTTACTTTATTTGAATATAATTTTCTCATGTATGTTGCTTTCATAAATACAGTTTATTGCTCATTTTCTCTTAGTCTACTAATAATTTTGAGCTTCCAGCTCCTGGAGATGGAGCATCATTGGGAAGTGTTAGAATGGGGCTCTGGCTTTAGTAAGGGCAGCCCCTCAAAACCATGGTGAGCACTCAGAAGCTGAAGGTCAATTTCAGCCTTTCTGTCTCAGAGATGCCCCGTGGCCATGTGACTAGGTGAGTTGTTCCACACCTAGACAACAAAGAACTAAGCCTCAGTCCAGCTTCAATTGGGGACAGCCTGTTCCCTGGGTCCTGAGATGTGACCTGGCTCAAATGTCTCCATCGGACATAGCCATCCAGCCAGAGAAAGTTCCAAGTCACTCAGCCTGAGACGACAGTGGAATAATACAATCCTTTTGAACACAGCCTCCGGCGGTAACGGATGTCCACCTTTGTCCCTGCTCACCCTTATCTTCCTGCAAATTCCACTGATTTATTTACTGGGAAATGTGATGTTTTCCTCCCAAATGTCCTCTCTTCTTAGGGAGTAATTTTGCTTCCCAGCTGTCACATAGCAAGGAAAAAGGGAGCAGTGTTGGGCCTCTGTGGGCTGCTTCCCCTGTACTCCTGGGATTCTCATGCATCAGCCTTGGGCTCCTTCATCGATTTGACAAATTCCTTGACTTCTTCTTCCAAGGTTTTGTTCCTCCTCTCAACATCCTCCCGGGAGCGCTCCATGTTGCGGAGGCTGATTTCCAAGGCTGCAGACTTCTTCTTTTCCTTCTCCAGTTCTTCATTGAGCCTCACCACCTTAGCCCAGACGTCATAATTTTCCTTCTCAAGGCTACAAGGAAGGAAAGAAATGAATGAAAGAATTGAGTATTACCTCTAGACTCCCCCTTCACCCTTGCTCACACCCTCCTCTATCCATTTGCCTTTCCACATCACAAGACCCATACCCAACCTGTACCACTTGTTTACATCCCAACCCCCACGTGAGTATTTCCTAGGAAACTGAATTCCCACAGCATGTCTGAGCCTGTTTTGTCATTTAACACCATCTTGTGACATCTCTTGTATTTGTTGTTCATGTCATTTTATGTTTGATGTCTTTCACCCAATAATAGTCTTTAAAAGAAGGGACTACATCTAATTATACTTATTTCAATACCGCCTCCCAGCACCTCGCATTAGTCCTGCTCAATAGAAATATTGATTGACACCTGAAGCCCCATCCATGTTCCACAGATTCCATTCCCAACACCTTTGTACGCTTAAGAGCCTTCTCATCCTGCTTCAATGGTGAGTATGGACCAGCGCCTTCCCTTAGTAAGGCCTCCTAGGAACCAAGATTTGGAGAAGTACAGGGAACTTCCCTTTGGAGCAGCAGTCTTGGCAGTGCCACCCTCACTTCTGAATCCTGCTCCAGGTGAAGAATCTGTTGGATTCCTGAATTCAGGGGCTTTTCACTATTACTGGCAAAAATCCTAATCTAGTCCCAGGTGGCCCCCTGCCTGGCTGTGCTGAATTAACTCGCAGGAATGAGAATACATATGCCATTTCTCAGCCAAAAGAGGGGATTTCAGGCTTGTGGGAAGATTGTGTGATTGGAAAATTGCTTCAGAGTTTCATTCTGAGAGGTACTGCCTCCCTGCTCCCCCAAATGCCTAATCATTTTACATGGAGACAAGTTCCCATCTGAGCCCATGCCTGACTTCTGTCTTCAAGGGCTTTGCCCCGTTCTGCATATAATGCCTCTTGTCTACCACTTCCTATTGCTTCTTAAAATTAAATCAGTCTCATTCCTTCTGGTCCTCCCATTACAAAGCTCGTTTTCTTCTTCAAATTCTCCATCTACCTCTTGCTTCGGGAGACATTTCAAATGAGACATTATGCTACATCCTGACCAGTGATTTTAGTGGAGAGGTAAGATCTGAATGGGCTTGGGAGCTGGTTGAAGCAGGTGCAAATCCCAGCCCCACCAATAATTAGTTGTGTGACCTTCAGGAATCTTTTTGTCCTTCCTGACCCCCCACTTATTCTGTAAAGTGGGGATATTACCTATTTCAAAAGATTGCTGTAAGGATTACATGGACAGATGTGTCTGAAGCATGAAGCTTAGACACTCCGGACTGTTTCTTCTCCCTCCACCAAGGATGGGAGGCCCGTGATGGTGGATTCAGAAGACTTTTCCATTCAGGAGGAGTGGCTGCCTCCATGGCAGACAGTTCTTTCCCTACCCTGTCAGTGGCATCCATGTTAGAGTACAGTGGGAGTCTTCTCCAGGATGCTTTGGTCACTGCCAAGGCGTCACACCAGCCTTTTAGTTCTACCAACTACTGATTTGTGCTCTGGCCTCCACTTCCCTACCCTCTCTCCTCTCAGTGACTTCCTCCTGCTCTAGCCCACCACTGGTCTGGTGCATGAACACCTAGACCTGCTTCCTTCCTCTGCCTCTGCACCTTTGGTCTCTCTGCCTGGCCTGCTCTTCTCTCATAGGTAGACCTGACTTGCTCCCTCTTCTCCTCCAAGCCTTTGCTTCAATGCCATCTTCTCAGTGAGGCCTTCTTGACAACCCTATTGGAGCCCCCTTCTGGAATCCCCCAACCTCCTGCCCTGATTTATTTCTCTCCATGGCATTTTCTACCATTGGGCATAGCATATATTTTCATTACTTATTTGTATTGTCTGTCTGTTCTCACTAGAAGGAAAGCTCTATTAGCACAGGGACTTTTGTCTGTTTTGTTCAGTGCTATTCCCCAATAGCTGGGATGTCACCTGGAGCACAATAGGTGCTCAATCAATATTCTCAGAATGAATAAATCACACTAATGTGAAAAAAGTTTTAAGTTTATCTTAATTTACTAAGCATGTTGAACCTTAAAGAATTGCTATTTAGAAAATTGATTAAGCTACATTTTTCATGAATTTAATTTGAAGCTGAGTTTTCACTAGCTTAGTCACTCATCACTCCCTTTACCCTTTTTTCTTATCAGGCCTAACTGCTAGAATTACTGTATTCTCCAAACTGAAGGTTCGTAATGTCACTTCTTTGGCAGATGAGAACAATCCCTATTGCTTCTTACGATGGAAGCTGAGTGGCTCCCCTCTGTATGTGACTTACCTTTTAATCTGTTCCTCATAGTCTTGTTTCTGTGTTTCTATTTCCTTTTGCAGCTCCTGGACCGTCTTTTGCAAAGACTCCAGTCCCTCTTCTCCAGAGTTCTTTGTCCCAGGCCCGGTTTCAGAGTTTGGGCTCGAAAGACTATCTCTCTTGGAGTCGCAGGCATGGGAAGCGAGTGCACCTGCTTCATTCTCAGGGGACCCTGGCAGGGTAGGGATGTTATCGTAGGTGGAAGTCCTCTGGGCATCAGAAAAGTTCTGCACACCTTGAGACAGTGTTCTCCTATGCCCCTCCCCGGCCTTCGCCTCTGAAGACGAGGACCAGAACTCATTTTTAAAGATCTCCACTTTGCTGCTGTTGGCACCTTGAAAAGCTGCTGTTAAGAAACATTTTCGATTAGGGAGGGTCTGAGTCCTTTTTCGTGATTGCAGCTTCCAATCTCCTGGCTTTTCCCTGGGAGTTTTGCTGCTGTGTTCCGGAAACATGTCACTTGGCTGTTGTTCAGTGGGGCTGGTTGCTTCTGAGTCGCTGGCCTAGAAAAAAAATGGCCATGAAAGTTACATGGGTTTTTCCCACGTGTCATGTTCCCAAGGAAAAAAAAAATAGAGGCTTGAAAGAAAGCATTTCTGGGCAGCACACCTATGAAACTCGTCATTAGAAGACCATCTATTCATTGGTCACATTAGTTGATTATCTGACTGGCATTTTTTTTCTGAAAGGACGTTGTACTTGAAGGAACTCATATTTTAAAGGTGAAGCCCTGATTAAAAGCATTATATGTTTAAGGTAAAAGAGTCCTAAGCCAGGATTCTTTTATAACTTTAGGATGGGGAGGCTTTTCTAACTAGGACTCAAAATCCAGAAGCCATAAAAGAAACATTTGATAAATTCAACCTACATGGCATGAGCCCCCAAACTTAAAAGAACAAAATTAAAACAAAGAAATCACCACATGCTAAATCACATAAGAAATGACAAAATGGCAAAAATATCTGCAAGGCATATCACTCTCCCTAATATATAAGGTTCATAAAAATTGAGAAGAAAAAGACCAATAACCAATGGAAAGGAAAAAAAACCAATAACTAATGGGAAAAGGACAAGATAAAGAGCTCACAGAGGAAAATGCAGCGGGCCTTTACATATAAGAAAAGATATTTGGACTCTCTTATAATAGGAAACCTCAAATTAAAATTACTGACAAATCAGTTCTCACCTATCAAAAGGACCCCCACCATAAAAGAACCCCAAATCTGACAGTACACCTCTGCTGGTGAAACTGTAGGGAAACAGATTATTTTATACATCACTGGTGGAAGTACAAAATTGCACAAACTTCATTTGATAATTTTAATGAAAATTACACATTACAAATCTATGTACCTTCTGAGTCAGCAATCCCAGTTCTGGGAATTTAGCCCAGAAATACATCTGCCTGCATACAAAATGAAGCCTAGTCAAGGTTATTCATTGCAGCCTTATTTGTAGTATGAAAACCACCTTTTTATCCATAGGGGCTGGTTAAGTAGATTATGGTACAAGAGTGGAACACTATACACCTGCAAAAACATAAGGTCATATGAGGTAGCTGTCTATGTATTAACATGAAAAGGTCTCCAGTATATATTGTTAAGTGGAAAAATTCAAGATACAGAGTGGAGTGTGTGTGTGGTGTGTGTGTGTGTGTGTGTGTGTGTGTGTGTGTGTGTGTGTGTGGAGAGAGAGAGAGAACTCAAAAGAGATTGTTATATTTTGTGTAAAAGGGAGATAAATAACAATTTACATTCATATCTGCTTATATTTGCATAAAGGAACACTGGAAAGATAAATAAGAAACTAAAAAGGCAGGGAAGGATGGAGTGGGTGAAGGTAGAGGAGGGATCAGGACTTCTCAATGTAGCTCTTTTTCTTCCTTTTTACTTTTTTTCAGTTAAATTAAAAAGGAAAACAAAGAGAAAGACCAAAAAAAAGAATGAGTCATAAACGTAAAATCTGAACATAAGGGCTGAAACTCTTCTTCTAACGCTTCTGCTAATCAACTGCTTCAGCAACCCCGTCTGGGGTCAGAAGCACCTGGGTTTTGAGGTGAGAACTAGATCAAAATCTTATTCTGTAACATTCTAGTGCTGCCACCTTGGGCCATCTGGTCGACCTCCCTGAGACTGAGATCCTGAGACATAAAATGTGCATGATAAATTCTACCCAATAGATTTACAGTGAGGAGTCCAGAGCTGATCTGTTTACATTTCCCAGCAAAGTGCCTGCCCAGAACTGCCCACACTGTTACCATTAAAGAAGAAACCTGTCAAATGAGCATAACAATGGCTAATCTGAAGCACTTCTAGGATGATGCCACTATACAAGGTATGAGCATTTCTAAATATTAATTTAATTGTTGAGTGTTAGTAAGATGCATTGTGTCCAGACTTTACCTAAGAAACATCACCACCAACCACTGCCTATGTTTCCCCCACATCCTTTCTTATTCATCCTCAAGATTAAAAGTACTATAGGCAACTTACATTACCAGGTCAACCCGAAATTTGCAGTTCATTCCTTGGTCACACATAATGAATCAGGCTGCTATATAAAGTTCACATGTTCTTTTATAAAAAACTTGTTTTATAAATATATAAAACATATTTGACCTTTGTAAGTTGTTGCCCTCAAACAACCTAAGTTTCAGAGTCTGCAGAGTTTTCTGACATTGGGAACGTGAGCCCCAAGCCCTCAGTACAAATGAGGGGGTTGACATTGCTGAGACAGTTTATCAGAGCATGGGAAATATTACACGAACACATCACATGCTCTGAGAAAGAAATCACGTTTCATGGGTTAGCAGGAAACCAGTTCTCTCTGGACTTTGACCCAGAATTTTCAATAACCCTCACTCAAACATTCACAAGGTGGTATATCTCTTTTCCCACTGAACTGCTCTGCACTGTGTTTCAAAGAGTATCCCTCCAGAGTGTGCTTCAGTGAAGAGTTCCATTGCTCAGTCATTGGCACACACATCACTAATCTCACCCCCAGGATGCAAGCAGAGACTAGACTTTGAAAGAGGCCAAGCTTTCAAGATGCCCGGGATGGGAATGGCTGGAGGTGGGGGGAGGGTGTCAATTGGGGGGAAAGGAGACATATGTAAAACTTTAGACAATAAAAATAAATAAATAAATAAATAAATAAATGCATTCCAATGAGTCTGTACCAGCTGTACCCATAGCCACAGCATCATCAAAAACTCCCCCAAATTGCCACCCACAGCAGCTCTTACATGGAATGACCTGGATTAAAGGATGAGTCTAATGGAAGGCCGAAGGCTCTCTGCACCTTACCGTGTTACTGAAGCTGTCTGTCCTAGAAATTGGGACGTCCTCAGAGGCATCCCAGCCCACAGAGCTTCGAGCCACTGGAGGTTTCTTGGGGTCATTTTTGGGAGCCGGGGGTGACAGGGGTACATCCTTGGACTTGGGGAAGAGGACCTCATGGTCTCTGATCATCATGGTCATCACTCTTTGGATTTGAGGAGTCCCTGAAAGAAGAAGAGATTTGTGGTGCTGGACCATGGTGTAGTCCTCAAAGGTCTCTATACCTATGGGATGTCTCCAAAAGTGTCTCTAAAACCACAGCGCCCCAAAGGACCTCATTTGGCTCCTCATAGGACTCTTCTTAATTGCCTGGGGTAGGACACTGTGGTGAAAGGGATGAGCTAGAACAAACACGTGGATTGGAGTGAAAGGTGGTTATTTTCAGTTTACACCCCACTGGCTCAGTCTTTAATCAGGAAATTAGCAATCTAACAGCAGAGAAAATTAAGACATCTGTCTCTCCTAATGTGGTCTTCAATGTGACATGCAATTTTTATTGCACACACAGTGAATATGTGCCAGGCATATTGCCTCCCCAAATCTATGGCAGATATCAGTACTCTACGGCAGGACTTTTGCTCACTGATCCCAGACACAGCCTCAGAAGCCTTTCAACACAGCTTTACAAGTACTCTTTTTGTGACTTGGCTTATAAAATGAAACTTGTTTACTCTCTCTGGCTAAGGGTATTTAAACATAATAAAAGATTAAGAAACATTAGCTAACTGTTTTTGTGCCAGTCTATTGTATGTACTGTGTGACCTTTAGGTAAATCTTTAACCACTGCTGTGATCTGGAGAATGGACATAATTCCTGCCCTGCCTACTTCATAGGGCTATTTTACAATTCAGACAAAATAATCAGCTGAAAATTCATGGCAAATTGCAGATCAGTGCCCAGACATAAGGGCTAGTGTCGTAACTGTCGTTAGTTCCTCTGCATCTGTCTTACCACAGGACCATCCTTACCCCTCATAATCACAGCAGGGTCTTCTACCTTTGACCTGATAAGATTCACACCAATCACAGTAGCCAGGTTATCCACGCTCATCTTGTTCACAGCACAGTTCAGCTGGATTTCATGTAGGAACCTGTGAACAGACAGGCAATCCCAGAGTAAGAAATAGAAATTTACCAGAAGAAAGCACTTCTGGGTACCAACGAAATCTCAGAGATGCATCCCGATTCTCCTTCTGATCTCAGGAGTGGGATCAGCCTGCTCTTCCCAGGAGAGTTTAGCTTCACCCCCAAAGATTCAAGATCAAGGAAGAATAGAAACCAGGAGGGGCCTGGCCAGCTGAGGTGGTGGCCTTGGTCTGGGAGCAGGGAGGGGAGTTACATTGGCAGAAGGCAGGATCCAGTTTCAGGGAGCTAAGAGGAGACTAGAAGGACCAAAATGGGCATTTGATTGCCCCTTGTCCTGCCTTTATAAGCTTATCCCCCAGGCTCTCAGCACCCATCACACCCAAGTCTCCAGAGAGGAAAATATCAGAGATGGGAATCCCAGTGCCTCCTCACTCTCATCCTCCAATTATAGCACCAAGTATCTCAAATTCTCAGCAGGTGCTCAATAATTAACAATTAATTTTTACTATAATTCTACCCAATTGAGGCATGCACTTCTGATTCACAATTAAAGAAAAACTAAACAGCCAACAAAGGAATTTCTACTTTTTCCAGAAACCATTTTTAAATGGATAGGCTGGAACAACATAAAATTTGAAACACAGAGAAAATATCAAATAAATGCTGGTCTGTCCAAATGAGAAAAGCTTATGGAATATTATGATGTTATTTATAATCCTATTGTATGACATAAGAAAGTGTTCACAATGGAACATTAAGCCAAAAAAGAAAGCAGGGTACAAATATATATATGTAATTTTATGTAATTACATGTATATATGTAATTCCAATTTGGTATAAAAATTGTTCCAGTAAATTTATATTGATGAGTGTAAAAATCAATCATAGAGACAAAACATCCAGAAGGAAAAACACTCAGGTCTTAATAGTGATTTTTACTGGGTAAGGAGATTGTGGGTAATTTTTATTTCTTCTTTACAGTATGTTGCATTTTCCTGGTTTCCAAATCAAGCATGTATCACTTTTTATTATCTGGAAACTATAACAAATGATTTTTTAAAATTAAGATAAATTTCAGCTCTGTCTGGCATGGAGATCCAGGCTCCCAACTCAGCAGGTCTGGGTCAATGCACATGCTACATGCTGCCACAGAGATGACACATAGCAAGTCCTCAGAAAGGGGAACTGGAGTGTATGCCTCTGGGGCACTAAGTCAGGATGATGGGAGATAATTCTAGAAACATTATAAAGATTTCGGTTCTATTGTATGCCCTAGGACTCTGAGCAGTGCTGAGGAAAGCCTAAGGAGGAAGCATGTACATTTTGTATGCCGATCAAACTTTCAGAGGGTCCTTTAAATTATCTTGTGGACACAGGAAACTACCTCGGAGCTATGTAAATAGAGTTGACCTTCCAAAGATCTGAACTAGAGTCTCTGAGTTCACAGAGACACTCTTTCCTTCTCTATCCAGGAGCTTAGTTATATTCTTATTATTAAATTTATTGGTGTAACATTGGTTAATAGGATCATATAAGTTTCAGGTGTGGATTTCTATGATACAAGATCTGCATATTGCACTGTGTACCTATCACCCAAAGTCAGATCATCTTGCATCACCATATATGAGGCCCCCTTCACCCCTCACCCCCTTGACTAGAAACTGTGTAGCTGATACTGGGGGACTCCTACCTGCAGATGTAGCTCAAGAGGCTGTAGTTGTCTCGAGGAAGGGTGGAGAGCTGCTTCATCAACTCCTGCTGAGCCTGGAAAGACATTTTTAATACCAGTAAATGAGCCTGCTCACTTGCCAGCAATGAGACCTTGGAACATAATTGGTGTCTGCGTAGAAGCAACACTTTGGCAGTGCTATTGGAGTGTTACATCTCAAGTGTTCATTAAGCAATTACTGTGGGTATGAGTTGTTGATAGTCCTTGCCTCAGGTTCTTGGAAGAAGAACAAATAAAAAAGTAACACTACAAGAAAACAATGAGCCTCTCTATACTGTTTTTTGCAACATTTTGTGAATTTACAGTTATTTCAAAATAAAAAGTTATTGAAAGACACACACAAAACTCTGAGAAGAGGAATTATCTCAGGGAGCCACAGACCGCACAGGCAGCTGAAGCTGAAAGGAACAAGAAAAGCTCCCTGTCCTTACTCTCTCTGGCACGTGCATTCTTTGTATGCCCATGTCTGACACTTGTGGTCATCATGGCGCTAGTACAGTCAGACCTCTCACCTGCTCTCCAAGTTGGGCAGCTTGACCTCGTGTCTCAGTGGGTCTCAACAAGGCCATATTGCTTGAAACCCTTATCAAATGCCTCCCCCCTCTCTTACTAACTTTAAAGTGACTTTGGGGTATTTGATTAGGGGCCAATTCTTTATTGGATTGTTACCTCCCATGAAGGCTGTCACCATGATGGGCTTCATTTGCCTTTGGTTTACAGGGAAGTTCCTGTTGGACAAAGTATCTCACCAACAGGTATGGACCTCCTGACACACTGTTCCCTGCCTACCAGAATAGTGTTCAGTAGCCATCATCTTCTTTCCAAGCAGGACACCTAACTCTAATGAGATACCAACCTTTGCCTCATCTGCATTCATGAGTTGCCCACAGAGCAGGAATCCCTCATACTGGCTCCAGGGAACCACAGGCTCTGGGAGGTCTCGGAGGTAGAGCTTTAATAGGGAGGCCACCGTGTGCACATCTGTATCTCTGAAAGAAAATAAGCAACACCCTTTGAAAGCAAAACTCCAGAAGTCTCCTCAGCTCCCCCGTGGTGATTCACTGAATAGAACCCAGGTTCCGCAGGGAAGCTTTGCAGAGAAGTAGAGTCTGATAAAGGTATATTGACCAAAACATTTTTGCTAATTCCTTTTATGGAATAATCCCCCCAACACCTTTTCCTTACTGCATCAAAGGCAAGTTCAAGGTCTATTTTTTCATTAAACCTTCAAGAGTTTAATCTTCATTGCTTTCTTCTTCCTCCAAGTCCCTTAGCACCTCACAATTTAGCATTCTGTACTTAGTGTCTCATTTTTTATGTGATAACTGCTTTATATCCATGGTCCATTGATCTATTTGATCCCTCAGAGTCTTAAAATAATTCTGAGATTCATTCATATATTTATGCCATCATTTATTCAATCAACAAGCTTTGAAAGAAACTATTCGGTGCAAGATACTATGTCAGGCACTAGGCTTTCAGCAGTGAACCCAAGGGACACACAGGACACCTCACTTCACTGAACCTCAGAGGTGTGCAAACTTAAATGTTATCAAGTCATTACAATATTGTGTGGTTAGTACCATGACAAGGGAAGTCCTGGACCTGGGATCATATGGAAATGTGGAAAGGGACACTTAATGCAGAGTTGGGGAGCTACAAGGGACTCTTTCGTCAAGATCTGTAGAGTGACCAGGAGTTACAGCATGGGGCCGGCAGCATGTGGATCAGCCTGGAGGCGGAGGGAGGAGACCTGCGGCAGGAACTGAGACAACATTCATTCGATCGCCTGATTAGCGGAAAGAGACACGGGCTCTTCAGCTCAGCTTCTCTGGTTTACAGCAGGAGTTGATACACCATGATCCCAGGGCCAAATCTGGCCCACTGCCTATATTTGTACAGCCAGCTAGCTAAGAATGGATTTTACATTTTTTAATGGTTGGAGAAATAACTCAAGAACATTTCATGGCATGTGAAAATGACATAAATTTTGAATTTCAGCTCCCATAAATAAAGTGCTATAGGAACACACTATGCTCATTCATTTTTGTATAGTCTTTGGCCAAGTTGAGATAAGAGCAGAGTTGAGTAGTTGCCACAGAGACCATCTAGCCCACAGCACATAAATATTTCATATGTGGCCCTTTTAAAACGTCTGCTGACTCCTGGTTTATAGAGCTGTTGCATTTATTCCATAGAGAAAATAAATCTGAATCTACCATATACTGGAAGATCATTAGTAAAGAAATATTGATTTATTTCATATCAAGAAAAACTGATGTTCTTAAGAGATAGTCCTGATAGTATTTAGAAAGCTGTGATGTGGGAAGAGGTTCAGATAATCTGAGTGTCTCCTTTGGTCAGCAATTGGGAATATAGAATCTGCTGGGTGGAGTACCTCCTAGGGAGAGACAGGAGGGGTGGATTGGACAGGAGGAGGAGAAGGGAGGCCTTAGAGGCAGCAGAAGTGAGAATGCCAGGACTTGACTAGAAAGCTCTGTCTTGGCGCTGTGTGCACATTTTTGAACACTTGTTTCTGACAGCCAGCGGTTGGAGGCAACCCCTTTGCAGCCCGTGAACTCTGTACCTCCGCCTGCACAGACCAGACGGCTGTCTATGCTCCATGGCGGCCCTCAGGAAGTCAGGGGGTGGGGTTTCAGGAAGAGACTTCCCTGCTGATTCATTGCCTAAAAATATCCCCAGGCAAAGCCCTTTTGGCAAAATACACAAGAAGTTCCCAAGAAAGTGTCAGAAAATCAACCAGCGCACACCTGGCAGGAGTAGCATTCTCCTAATGTCATGTTGACCCAGGTCTTAATCAGAATCCAGGGTCTACGGTTTGATTGGGGTCTCTCTCACCTCACATCCAATTAGTCTCCCAAGTCCCCTCAATTCTACTATCCAAATGTCACATGAATATCTCCAAGTCCCTCCCCTCTTTCCACTCCACTTTTCAGAAGGAGGATTTTTTTTGTCTCTCCCCCTGCATGTGCCAACCCCCCCACCCCGCCCCGCCCCTGCAGCAGGACTGCTCAGCCTCCTAATCTAGCCTCCTGTCTCCAGGGTTCCATTCTCCAGTGCACTGTGTGTGGCCTGGCACAGCCCCCAGCACTCAAAACACACCCACAGAAGGAATGTAGAAAACAAAGAATTTGGAATGAGAAAAAGAGCATGGAGGATATGTCAAGAAAACAGTCTTTTGAAGAGAAACAATAATAAAAACTACTAGACAGTTTAGTCAGGAGAAACTAAAACAACATGAATAGCCAATATTAGAAGAGAAAGGGGTTATAAACCACAGATACAATATAGATACCTCAAAGTTGGCATCAAAGAACACAGTTAGCTATGTAAATCATCCTAGAGCATCGAAATGCACAGAAAGCTGCCCATTCATTTTACCAGGGGAAGATAAGGCTGCATCGCCTGGCTAACTCCTCATGCTTCTTTATTTTGTCTCAGCTTAAATGTCATTTTCTTGGGGAGCTTCCTAAATCCACCAGATCATGTCAAAAACCCCTGTTCTAAATTCTCACAGTACCATCTCTCTTTCATTTTTAGCACTTAATACAATGAAAATTATAATTATTTCTGTAAATTTTTGGTGCCCCATTGGGACAGGGCTGATTCGGATGTCATTGTTATAGTCTAAATTTCTAGCATGATATTTCCTGAATTTGCTGTTCCTCCAACCCAATGGAACATCCTTAAATAATGTTTTAAATCAAAGACTAAGAGCAAGTCAGGAGCCAGGGGGCTTCTGAGTTCAAGCCCTGGTCCAGCAGAGGTGAGCCAGGGCTCCCCATAGCTCTGCCCACCTTCCCTTGAAGCACTGATCTGATAACGCAGAATGTCTCTGTGCGTTTCTCCCAGAGTCAATAGGTACTGGAAGTGTACTAGCTCTGTGATCAGGCAGTAGCCAGCCTAGTAGAGGCTGGACAAAGAGATTTTTAAATTCATATTTTTATCTTGAATGAGAGCCTGACACACCTGTACTAGAATCTGCCAACAGAGTTCCTTTGATTTCCTTCATCCAGAGAGGCAATTTTGGGGAACTCACAGTGAAACTGCACATGTGACCAAGGTAAGGGTCTAGATGAGTACCCACAAGGCGCATGTGGGCCCAAAGAACCAGTCCTGGGAAGACCCTGAAGGACCCTTCCTATTTCTGGCTGTGGGAACTCCTCAGTTCTGGCAGTGGAGATGTGTGCTAACTTTCCTCCTTCCAGATCCAAATATTTCAGAAGAATCAAAGACTCTGACTCTACCACCCAGGCTGCTTTTATACACGCAGGAGGCTAGGGCAGGTATTTGGCAACCAAAATCACCTCTATGCCTCCTGGCTGACTTCACATGGCTTTTGCAACAACCCACCTGCATCTTTTGATCAACTCAAAGCTAATTAAAAACATAAGAAGAAAAGTGAATATAAAGGTGGCAAGCTTAATTGAACGAGTGCCTGGTAATGAAAATCAATTTATGGTGATGCTAAAAGGTCCTTAAATTTCATGCCCATAACCTGGTATAAATCAAGTAACAACTCCACCCCATCGCTTTCCTATTAAAATATAGCACCCTTGCTACACTAACCTGTTATGTGCCAAGGACAGCAAAGACAGGCCTACGGTGGTCCAAACTAAGACAGTGGCTGTGAGAATGGAAATGGATGGGTGTTAGAGATGCTTCGGAGGCAGAATGGAAACACTGGGAACTGGAGGGACAGGAGAGGGAGAGGTGAGCAGTGAGACTATCCACACAGCATGACACCCAGCTATTCACCCTTCCCCAGGATCAGCCCCGCTCTTCAGTCCTCAATGAGCTTGTGAAGAATTTCAACCTTTGGAAACTGGATAGTGCTCAGGCCTTAATTGCTAAATCTTAGTTTATGGGCCGCTGATTTGGAAAGAATAATGACTTTTCCTTGCCAGCAGGACAAGTGCATGCAAGCAACCAAGGCAAATATTGCACAATAAGCAGAGCGCGTGCACTGTAGGGTGGTGGTTGTCCTAGCTGAGCATAGCAGACAAGAAAACCTTGGCTGGGAGGCTGAAGGAGGTGGGGAGGGAGGGGAATGGTGGGGAGAAATGTCCCTGCACCAGATATGCCCCAAACAGGGCTGGGCAACATCCATGGGAAAACACCAGGCAGCCAACCTGTTAGTATGTACTCCCTCCAGAAGGGCTCAGAACTAAGTTCAGAATTGGATAGGACTGTGCTCTCCCACACTAACAAGGGCCGGTTCTGGTCGCTTCAGGAAAGCTGAGGGAGACCATCGCAGCCCTTGGTTGGATCTGGACATGGTGCGTTCTCCACCACACCCAGTCTGTTGTACAGGCAACTCAGCCCCACGTTCCTTATCTGCCCTGAAGGCTGGGCCTGGAACTAGGACACATCTTTCCCTCTACCCCATACTTCCCTCCCCCTGTATCCTAAACATCTCCTGAGTCTGCCCAGCAGGCTCTCGGTGGAGCTCACATCTCTCTCAGGTAATGGATCACCATGCTCTCCTAACTGTGCCCCAGGCTCCCACATTCTAAACTACGAGCAAAACAAAGGTTCTTTCTGTTGCAAGCCAGGGCTCTTGGCAGTGTCTGTGTGAGTCCCATAGCTCAACTGGAAGAGAAAAGTCCTCTTACGCAAGTCAAGGCAGAGGGGAGGGCGAGGTGAAGGCAGCGTACCTGTCAAAGGAGGGCCTCTCCCCTGCGTCAAAAGCATCTCTGAGCTGCTTCACCAGGTTGTCCTGCCCAGGCAGCCGGAAGATGCCCTCTTCATTCAGGCCATGTTCGAGGATGAACTCAGCACACTTCTCCACGAGGATGGGCACCAGGTGGGGGCCAAATTTCTGCTCATAGGCCACGGTCTCATCCAAACGCTGGCCAAACACCGCTGGAAGAGAAAAGCAGCACCTGCCCATTATTTTGAGTCCCGTTGGATGAACGGACAGGTCAGAGCGCTTTGCCTATTTCTTGAATTTCTGTGTTGCCTATGACCTCAAAGGTTTTGGGGAAATGATACTAAACAAAATAGAGGAAACAAGTCGCCCACAATATTTCCTGGGGCTGGAAACTGGGCCAGTCTCTGTCAGTCTTTTTCTCTTGACACACATTTTTACGTATTTAAAGTAACAAGTCACTTTTATCCAGTGTGCTAGGAATTGTGTTCAGCGCTTTGCATATCTTTTCTTGTTTAATCTTGACAGCAATCCTACGAAGTGGTATCAACTGTTATGCCCACCTTATTGTTAGAGATACTGAGCCTTAGAGGCACTGATGAACTTGCCAAGGTCAGAGACCAGGGCATGGTACCATCAGAATTCAAGTCCAGGCAGTACATGCAAGAGAATGTGCTCTTAACCACAGCAGCGAGCAGGTGATTTTGAATAACCTGCTTGTGTTATATCACACTAAGCATAAGTCTGTCACATGGATGTCTCAGAGCGTGTTAAACCAGTGTGGCGTTTGAATAATTTAGGTTGGTTTACTGTGCTTGACTATTTTAACACTGCCACACAGAGAACATATTCATTCGCCTAGCAGAGTTCCTGGAATGTACGTAGCACAATGTATTTTTTTCTAATTAATTGTTTAATTAATTATTTGACATTTGGATGGATGAGCCCAGGCTATTTCGTCTTTTGAACTACTTCCTTAGGGCAAAGTCCCACATGTAGAATTACTAGTTCACATGGCTTGAACATTTTAATCACTCGATGGTATGCAAATCGCATTCCAAAAACACTGTTCCAAATGACAGTGCCTCCAGCAATGCATGCACGGACCAGCTCCGCCCCAGCCCTGTCAGCGCTTGGCTCTGTCCTTTTTCCACCCCAGCGGTGTAATAAAGTTAATTTCTAAATCAGGATAATCAGTGGCTACTCATTTTTTCCCACGAGGCCTGGAAGTTCAGAAGACAGGTTATGGTTTCAGCTCTGTCCTGCCTGAGTTTCCCTCTGTTATAATTAGGTCTGTGGCACCAACCACTTCAAGCCCTGGACACGGGTTCCCAAAGCCTTTGGGTTTTTTCCCATGATTCTCTCTCTAGTTGGTCCCCTGGACGAGTCTCTAATTAATGTGGATTCCACCTATCAAGAGCTCTAATGGGTTCTCGAATCTCCCATGTCCTTTCCACTCCTATCCATTGTCCCAGGCCAGCCCAGGCTGGATTCCTTTCTCATCTATGACGGTGTTTCTTCTCTTCTACTATGTTCAAAGCCCTCCTACTACTTACCTTTCTAAACCACTGGTCTACCTGAGCGTATTCCCCCTTATTTTTAATAGTCAGCCACTTCTTCCCAAATTACCACAGCAGTGTTTTTCAAATTACCCCTCAAAATCCTCGGGGTTTCCTCTGAAGCCCTTCCCTCATCACATCAAGTGCTTGAGAGGTGAGGGCATGGGATCCAGGAGCAGCTGAACAAGTGAGTCTCTGTTCTCCCTACTCCCAACGAGACCTGCTGGGCTGTTGTCTGTTTCACTTGTGTTTCAGTGACACTGATTAAATATTTCTGTGGCTGAAGTTTGGAAGCTGGGGCTGGCATTCTTTAGATTGGCATTCAGTCTGGCACCCACCTACCTTTCTGGCCTGACTTCCTGCCACACCCTCAAAGGCACCTCACCTGGTGTTCCGAAAGCCCACAGTGCTCGCCAGTGTTCATGCCCTTGAATGGTCCCTTCTCACTGCCCAGTCTGTTCTTCTCTCCCCTCTCTGTCTGCTCGAATTCCATTGGTCTTCCTTGGCTCCATTCAAGTATTGTCACCTCTGGTAAGCCTTCCCTGACCCCAGCCTGAGAGATTCTATCTCTACTCTGTGTATCCGTATCCTTCTCAAATATCCAATCCCTTTCCACACTGTGCTGTAATTATGTGTATACCCCTGTGCCCTCTGTATAACTACAGGCTCCCTCATGCCAGAAATATGGGGTTGGTCTCTTTTTACTCCCAGTGTTTAGCGTAGGTCTTGGCACAGGTAGAGTCAACAAATTTTGCTAAATTACTTAATAAGTCATTTCATCTTCAAGCAAATGCTTTCCATGATTCATGATAATTTTGGCATTTATTTAGTTTAAACACTAGTCGAGATCTCAGCAGATAAATTCAGCTTCACGCTAACATTTATTGAGTACCCTGCCATGTGCCAGGAGCAGGCCACATGGCATTCCATTGGCTACACAGAGTAAGGGACTGTTATGCTCAATTAGCTTGTCATCAAATTATGAAAATGAAAAGACCCCATGCAAAATAATGAAAAACAACGAGAGAATGTCAATACAATATAAAATTAGATTGCTGTTTGTCCATGAAATGACCTGGGTAGATATATTCCCCAAATTGGAGGGAAATAATTAAAATGATCTGACTTAAAATATAGGCCACACGGCATTTGTAAAATTCCCTTTGAGGGGTCTAGGGAGAAGCACTTCAAAGGGAGAGGTGGATGTGCTTCCGAGTAGTTGAAACTTGAATTCAAGGGGCCCACTGGGCCTCCTAAGGGAAGATCTCCCCAACACAATGTGACAGTGTGCACACAGCTATCAGAGCTGTCAAATGTGAGCAGCATTTCCAAGGTCCCCAAGCAGAAGGCAGGTCCACTTTGCAGGTGATCTGGAATCGAGCTGCTTCTTATACCCCTCTGCAGTCAGTCCTCTAACTTCTCTCCTCTTCTGAGTCCATCAGTCTTGTCCTGTGTTCCTTCTCTTTTCCTCCCATACTCCACAGTCAGTCATTTCAATGTCACGTTCACCAGTGCACTCATTCCCCACATCTTTTCTCTCCATCATCTCCACTCTGCTGATTTCCACTCCCTCTCCACGCCTTTGTCAGGACACTGGGAGCCATGCAGGAATGTAGCCTAACATTTCATGGACATGTGTACTTCCAATCTCTGTAAGATCGGTTCCAAAGCTACACCACTTCCCTTGAGCTCACCACCATTCCCTCTCCTGTCTCAGCAGGTGACCTTGTCTCCTCTTTCCCTTATCTCCCCAAATTGAGGACATCATGAGTGAACTCCCTCATTTCCAGTCCCTGCCTCTCTCATTCTTCTTCCTGTCTGCCTGCCTGTCTCTCTTAGAGGGAGAAAAGGACCCTGTGCTTCCTCCAAGATAGTGTTGTCCTCCACCCTGTTCACCTCTTCCAAGATTTCACTCCTTCTCTTTTTGTATTTTTCTCTTTCAATTGAAAGAGCCCACATGTGTCTAAGTCTTTGCTAATTTATTAAAGACTAATCTCCTACCCCAGGTCTCAAACACCCAATGCTGTCCTTTCTTCTATTCACCAGTATATTCATCCAAAAAACAACGAGTCTCCTTCTTGAGTCGTCCACCCTCACAGCCCTTACTTCTGCCCTTAGCATCCACTTCCCAACCCCTCAATCCTCTCCATCTGATTTAATCAGCCTGCATCTTTCCACACAGTCTGCCCCCAAAAATTTCCAGTGCCCTCCTCTGCGTATCCCACACTCCACTGGTCTTCACTGAAGACTCTGATAGGGGTGATTCTTCTTCCTTTTCAAGACTTTCTCCCTACATGAGTACAAAATCACCCACTCTCATTCTATCCCCACATCTCTATGGGCTCTTTTGCAGTCTCCTTTACTGTGCACCTTCTTCCACCTGCTGTGCCATTTCCTGGCATTTCAGCTCAGATGTCCTCCCACTCTAGACATTGGGATATCACCTACAAACCGGTAACTTAAAATCCACATATCTGCTCCAGGTCTCTCCGTAGCTCTATCTCCGTCATCTCTCTCTCTCTCTCTCTCTCTCTCTCTC